ATAATTGGTTTTGTCTGGTTTTAACTAAAGAAAGTCACACCGAAACCAAACCAACCCGACATTACATATATAGAAATTTTAGATATATTTAATATTATTGTGATGTAATTTATAAATATTTCTTAAAAGATTTTATAATTTTATCTTTTGAGGTATTATTTCAAGGTTGGACTTAGAACTTTTGAATGTTCCAATAAATTTTATAGCCATTAACATTAGTAAATTAATGTCACGACCCCAGTTCGCCCTCCGTGAACCATCGTGACAGCACCTAGTCTCTACGACTAGGTAAGCCTAACAATGCGGAAAGTAAACCAATTTGCTGAAGAAAACAATTAAAACCAAAATAATGAAATAAAACAACATTTTAAAAGTGTCGCTCGGCATACACAATATCTACTCTCAAAAACTAATACACTTTCCCAAAACCCGAAATCTCATGAAACCATAAGCCTTTGAATATCTACCAGTGTCTAACTCCAGAATATCAAACAAAGAAAAGAAATACAGAAGGGCTAATACTTAAAAGCGAGAATAGAAAGGGACTCCTCGGTCTGAGGACGCGGTAGATATACCTCGAAGTCTCTGGAGCAGTCGCCTCGCCTCAAGGGTGATAGGACTGAGTCGAAGTACCTGGATCTACACATGAAAAACATGCACAGAAAGGGCATGAGTACACCACAGCGGTACTCAGTCAGTGCCAAGCCTAACCTCGGTCGGATAGTGACGAGGAAGGTTAGGGCCCTACTGAGGTTAAATAAAATATAAGGTTCAACAATGTAGAAATAAACAATATAAATAACTAAAACAGTAAAAGTAACACAGAATATAAAGGACAGCAACAATTTCTATAGAGGCAAGTAAACACAGAAAGAGGTACAACTCAACACAAAGGTAACAACCGGGGATCTCCCAGGATACCGTCCTGTAGTCCCAAATGTAAATATTCAGTGGATCTCCCGGGATATCGTCTCATAGTCCAACTCAAAATGCGAGGGGGATCTCCCGGAATATCGATCCGTGGTCCCAAATGTAAATAATCAGTACAAGGGGAATCTAGTGGGTGCAATCTCGTAGTTCCAATGTAAATGTGCAGGGAGTTCTCCCAGAATACCGTTCCGTAGTCCCAAAGTAAACACACAGCAACAGGTACACAGTTCAATTCAAGTTCCATACCAAGGTAAAGCGGGTATTTCTAACCTAGCATGCTGCACGTAATTCAAATAGGGCAATTTGAACAAATAAGGCAGTTAAGTCAATTAGACATGCTTTCCTAAGCTAACAATTGGCTTAAATTGCAAGTAGTATAAACAGGAAAGGAAATATACTAGTAATTACTTAATGAAAAATCGGATTTCCAACAATTAGCACAAGTACGCACTCGTTACCTCACGTACAAGGCATTTTAATTATCAATAATACCAAATCCTAATGGGAAGGTCTCCCACACAAGGTTAGGCAAGCCACTTACCTCGAACTAGCTCAAATCAATCCGAAATCACGCTCTTGCTACGAGTACTCGACACCAAATGGCCCAAATCTATTCAATTCAATTGCATAATGTAAATAACACTTCAAGTAACTAATTATACAAAGAAATTCTAAGCTAATACGCAAATTTAGGGAAAATGACTAAAATGCCCCTCGGGCCCACGTCTCGGAATCGGGTAAAATTTATATTTCCAGAATTCTCATACTCTCACGAGTTCAGTCATATCAAAAGTACCAAAATCGGACCTCAAATGGTCCCTCAAATCATCACTCAAAGGTCTCTAATTAATCAAGCCCTAACCTCCAAATTACCATTGATTTTCCTTAAAATTTCATGCTTATAATGATAAAAATTACTCCAATAACGAGCTTAGGGACCAAAGACCTTACCCCAACGAACTCCTCTGAAAATCTCCCTTGAAAATGCTCCCCAAGGCTTCTTCCCGTTTGAAAAGAGGTGAAAATAGCTAAATTTCGCGAAGGCAAGAATTTATATGTTTCTGCCCAGCTAATCCGCTTCTGCGGTCCCACTTCTACGAGGACATGGTCGTATCTGCGACATTTCACTTAAAGCCCAGCTTCCGCACCTGTGGTTAACCTTACGCAGATGCGGCGCCGCTTCTGCGGTGAATCTCCTGCTTCTGCCCTGCTAGCTTCTCCCTTTTCCGCTTCTGCGATGGCTCCGCCTCTTCTGCGGCTCCGCACCTGCGGAACCCAACCGCAGGTGCGGTTATGACAGAGATCAGCAGCTGAAGCTGCTCAAACAACTCCCAATTCTTCCGACAACCTTCCGAAACCATCCCGAGGCCCCCGGGACCTCAACCAAAAACACAAACAAGTTTAATACCACTGTCCAAACTTATACCAATCCTTAAAACACCTAAAACAACATCGAAACGACGAATCAACCGCGGATTCAAGCCTAAGAACTCCAAAACTCTAAAAATACACTTTTGATCAATAAGCCTATCAAACCTCGTCCGAATGACCTGAAATTTTGCACACACGTCATATTTAACACTACGGAGCTACTCCAACTTCCGGAATTCCATTCCGACCCTCGGATCAAAATCTCACTATCGAATCGAAAAACTTCAAAATTCGACTTTCGGCATTTCAAGCCTAAATTAGCTACGGACTTCCAAAACACAATCCGAACACGCTCCTAAACCCGAAATCACCCAACGGAGATAACGGAACTATCGGAATTTCATTCCGAGGTTGTCTTCACACTGTTCTGACTACAGTCAAATTTTCAAAACTTAAACTCTCATTTAGGGACTAAGTGTCCCAAAACTCTTCGAAACTCAAAACCGAACATCTCGGCAAATCAAAATAGCAGAAATAAACACGGGGAGAGCAGTTAATAGGGGATCGGGGCGTAAATTCTTAAGACGACCGGCCGTGTCGTCACAATTAAATAGTGCCAACAAAAGCCTAAACCAAAATCAAATCAATACTAATGCTACCAAAATACATTCAACTCAATACTACGAACGGGAACGTATTGAATATCTATTTTTTATTTTGCAATAATATAGATAAAAATGCATAACATATTTTTATTTTTTCTTTAGAGTTTAGTCATATAATTAATACTCCCTTATTAGTCTACTTATTTAGCATGACTTAGTACTTTTAGATTATTTTTATTTTTATTATGGCTTTTAATTAGCGATATTTATATTACATAATTTTATTATCTTTATTGTTGGATATTTTAAGATAATGCCATGACATATCTCATATTTTGTACTCTATTATTTTCTTAGAAAATACTTTATATAGTTGTATCTTACTAGGACTAAAAAAAAAAATTTAAGCACAATTATATGTTTTGTTCTACGAAAATTTTACCGGGAAAAAAACCCCAAATAACCCGAAAACTCGAGAAAACCCGAGAAAGACCGAGACTGAAAACCCCAAGTTTTATTTGTTTGATTTGGTGTTTAGATTTAATAACCCCACACAATTGGTTTGGTTTGATAATTGTAAAATTCGAACCAACCCGACCTATGTATATCCCTAGTATATTCTAATTGACCTTTTCTTTTCCTGTTTCTAATTGACCTTTACTTTGTTCTTTCTTTTCCAAACTGTGGAAAATAACTCTAATTAAGTAGCTTCCACTATCTCAAATCTGGAGCATCTCTTTTTGTATTTACTTATGCAAATTAATATAGTTTTGACGCAATTAAAGAGTGGTTTAAAAAAGTTAGTATGTATCTCGCATTTCAAAATTGACTGAAAAAATAACGATTTGGATCCTTTTTTTTCTCGGATAATGCATGTGATGATCGAACAATATTTGTGCAATTTGAAGATGACTATATTCTATTGAACATCACATAGTTCACTATAAAGAAATTGTACGCAAATTGGTTTACTATATGCATTTTGGGAGTGTAATTAGGTAGAAATTGTACAATTAAGATTATTGATTTCTTGTTAGTATTTAGCACATTGAAATGCATAAAATGCATAGTACTGAAAATTCGTTGTTTAATCAGGTAGCTATTACTATTTAAGCTGGCATCTTTTAATACGTTAATAATAGTTATATGTTGTTTGTTATCTTTCTTTCTTTTTTTGGTAATTAAACTTTATTTCCACGTAAATATACAAGTATATCCTCCTAAGTTTGGACATGCATCCCCAAACTTAGTAACATCTCTTCCTCACTGACTACTCTAAGGATAATAGTTGAGTTTTTGTAAACTATTCCTCAATCTACTATGACTATGGCCTATACAATGAATATCTCTAACTATTTGTCTAGTAATATCTTCACTGCTTCTTTTAGTCTTCTGAAAGATCCTTCTATTTCTTTCCAGCCATATGTTATACACTGCTCCAATCATACTCAACCTGTACAACATGGTTTTGGATCCATTGCTTTTCACCTGTTCTATTGCTCATTTGATCTCCTCGTCCCATCTTTTTGGTTCTCGACTGATATCCATCCGCTTTAATAATCTTCTCCAAACATCTTCTAAGAAAGAGCAAGTAAAGAAGATATGGTTGTGGCTTTCCATCTCATGCTCACATAATGGACATTCTGAACTTACTTGCATCCCTCATCTTATCAATCTATCTTTTGTATATAAACTCCCCTACATTGCAAGATACATAATAAATTTCCATTTTTGACAGCTTCTGTTATTGCATAGCAATCGACTCCAACTCACCTTTAGAAATACCCCTCTTAGTTGCTTATACATTCCTCTAATGGAAAATGAATCAGTTTGCATTACCCTTCCTATGTCCAAACCTGCTTCATTCAAGTATTTCCCAGCTTGTAGTATCTTCCTTACAATCCAGGAAGCTTGCTTTGCATCAACGTCCCATGGTTCCCTTCCTTTTATATAGTATGCATGCACCCATTTGATCCATAGCTTATCCTTCTTCTTGACCAAGTTCCAAAGATGTTTCAGTAGAGCTGCCATATTCCATGTATTGAGGTCTGTGACATTCAGTCCTCCTTTAGTTTTAGGCCTGCACAACTTGTCCTATGCCACTAAAGCCTTCTTGCTCGAACTAGTATCACCAGTCCATAGGAACTTCCTACAAATGCCTTCAACCTGTTGAATGATCTTCTTTGGCAAAGGGAAAATCTGTGACCAGAAAGACTGTATAGCAATAAGTACACTTTTGATCAATTGTAGTCTTCCTGCATAGCTCAGAAACTTCACTGCCCGCTGTTTAATTCTCCCCAACATTTTGCCTAGCAATGGTTGGCATTGGCTTACTGATAGCCTTTTTATACTCAATGGAACACCTAAGTATTGAAAAGGAAGTTCACCTGTGTTAACCCTGTTATTTGAGTAATCTCCTGTTGTACTACATTTGAAACACCTCCAAAATATATGCTGCTCTTGTTCTGATTTGCCACTAAGCCTGAAGCTTGTGAAAAGCTATTGAAACACTCATATAGTAACTGCACAAACACCCTATCTCCTCGGCAGAAAAGTAGTAAGTCATCAGCAAAACTGAGTTGGATAATACTCAATTTTTCACACCTTGGGTGGTAGTTGAAGTTAGGTTGATCCTTTAAGTTCTTCAAACTACTGGTCAAGTATTCCATTGCTAAGACAAATAGCAATGGAGACATAGGATCTCTCTGTCTCACACCCCTTCTTGTATCAAATGGAATAGCAGGACTGCCATTGATATTAATAAAGTATGACATTGTTTTAATGCACTCCATAATCCAACCTACAAACTTTTTAGGAAAACACAGTCCATCTAACACCTGCTCCTAATACACCCATTCAAGTGAGTCATATGCCTTTTGCATGTCTATCTTGATCATGCATCTAGGTGAGACTCCTTTCTTACCATAACCTTTTATCAATTCATGGCTGAGCAGTATATTGTCCATCAAGCCTCTACCAGGTACAAAAGTTGCATGGCTTTCATCCACCAGTGTGTTCATGACCATCCTCAGCCTACTTGTCAGTATCTTGGATATGATTTTGTATAGGGTAGTACAGCAAGAGATTAGTCTGTATTCTTTTATTGAAGTTGGATTCTTCACTTTGGGAATAAGTGTAACAGCTGTGCAATTTATTGATTTGAACATTTTCCCAGTGCTAAAGAACTGCAAAACTGCCTTTGCTATCTCATCTCCATTCATATTCCATGTTCTCTTGAAAAAACAAGCATTAAAGCCATCTCCCCCAGGTGCCTTCATATCATCAATACTCTTGAGAGCTTCAAATACATCCTCCTTTGTAAAAGAAGCTATGAGTTCCAGTTGTTGTTTCCTACTTAACACTGGTCCATTCCTTATCCTCCCAGGATGTATGGTAGATATACTTCCACATGTTGATCCTAACAGGTTTTTGTAGAACTCAACCACTTCAGCTTCAATCTCTTTATAGTCTGTTAAGTTGTTACCCTTACTATCAATGAGCCTTGTGATTTGATTCTGAGCCTTCCTTCATTTCATGCTTGCAAAGAAGTAAGCATTATTGGTATCCCCCAGTTGTAGCCATTGTATTCTTGACTTCTGTTTGTAGATTGACTCCTCAATTTTATCTCACTTCTCCAATTGATATACCATCTCTTTCTCTTCTTCAAATAGCCTTGATGGTGCATTATGATCTTTCATTCTTCCTTGTACTTCTTGCACTCCCTCTCTTATACTGTTTATTTTTTGCTTAACATTCATGAACTCTTTGCTATTTAACTGCTTCAGAGCTGCCTTAACACACTTCAAATTCTGCCATATATCTTTCATTGTCCCTGCTTTCCATTTCCAGTTAGTTTCCTCAACCTGTCCAAACTCAGGATGATCAGCCATACAGTTATAGAACTTGAAAGGCCTTCTCTCATTATCATATTTCACATTTATTTCAAAACCCAAGGGAGAATGGTCTGAGAAAAGAGGATTCATGACATGTACTTGTCTAGGAGGCATGTTGAGCATCCATTTATCATTAACAAAAGCTCTATTAATTCTACTGAATACATGGCTATTTGTCCATGTATATGATCTGCCTATTGTAGGTAATTCTGCCAAATTACATTCCTCAACTACTTCTCTGAAATCCTTTGTTTCGCTATCCTGCACATTCCTGCCTTGCATTCTGTCTTCAGCTCCCAGGATTGAATTGAAGTCTCCCATTAGTAACCATGGCTCCCTGACTTGTTTCTTTATGGTCCTTACCAAGTCCCATAATGTTTTTCTATCATTTACGTTATGTAATCCATATACTGAAGAAAATTGAAACTCATTCTTGCTTGCAACACTCTTTACAACCCCATGGATCAGCTGTGCATAGCTTCCTATCATTGTAAACTGCAGTACATTTGGATTCCAAATCACCCAAATTCTCCCTATGCATGTATTGGATACATTATGGCACCAATACATGCACAAGAGTTTGTTATCATTAAAATGTTAAAACATATCTTTAAAACATCTCACAATGAGTTGTTATTTCTTTATATGGTGGTAGACTATCCTTACCTCAAATGTCAAAGGAAGAAAATATATCTGTAAAGGTAAAATCCATGAGTATGCAAAACTACAGCAGTTCGCAATAGGGCTGTGCATTTGGATCGGATATCCGAAATCCGATCCGATCCACTCTATTTCGGATTTTCGGATTTCAAATTTCGGATTTTCGGATTTCAAATTTCGGATTTTCGGATTGGATACGGATTCGGATTTTCGGATTGGATTCGGATTGGTATGATTTTAATCTGATCCGATCCGATATCCGAAATTATATGTACCTATATAAATACACACTAAAATTTTAGGGTTATGCTTATTCATTTTTCACACACCCCCTCACTCACTTAGATTTTTCCGCCTCTCTTGCACCTCTCTTCTCTTCAGTGAAGACTAAAAGAGTCTCAATGACTCAAACTTCCGATTTTACTTTGATTTTATGTCTCTTTCTTCCGCCTCTCTTCTCTTCTCTTCTGTCTTTTATGTCTATTTCATGTTCTATTCTTCAACTTTTGATTTTATTGTTTGTTTTGATAGATAGAAGATGAGATAGAGACACCGAATGAACTTTAAATTGTTCAAAATTTTTGTGACAATCCGATCCGACAATCCGAAAAATTATCCGATCCAAAGTTTAAAATCCGATCCAATCCAATGTTAATTCGGATCGGATTCGGATTGCCCTTTTCAGAATCCGAAATCCGAAATAGGCTAAATCCGATCCAATCCGATCCGTGCACAGCCCTAGTTCGCAAAGCTGACAGTTATCTCTTTTCCCGAGACTCAAGTTTTTAAGTGTTAGAATCCTATAATGAAGCGGACCAATGTGTTATAGTGAGGGGTCACCGGACCACATAAGCTTCAACAGAAATCTTGTATATGTATATGTATATACCTTGAAAATGGTTAATTTAAAGCACTTGGCACCCTTAACATTAAAAGCCTTTAGGGGGCATTGGTTGAGAAGAATATTGTGCCCCGTCACGTAAAAATTCTGAGTTCGCCTCTGCCTCTATGTTTAAGGTTCTTAATCTGCAATAGAAATTTCTCCACTGTAGTAAGGAGCATTATTGAGACATTTGCAAAGGAAAGATAGAAGTAAGCAATGAATCTCAAAAAAGAAAAAGACGCTTGCTCAAATCCAAATCCTCGTGTAAAATCATGAAAAATTAAAATCTTGAATAATAGGTGCCAAATTCTGCATAGAGGATGCAAGACTTACACAACTTCACCTCTCTCTAAAAAAAAGAGAAGACAAAGAACAACTAGAATTTTTAGGAAAATAAAATGGAGTTGACTATATATACATCAATAACAGTTGCTCAGGCATTTGAAGATGCTGTCAAAGCATATAAAACTAGCAGAGGGCTACAGGGAGGACGCCTTGAACGTCATACAGAAGAAATGGGCTGATCTTGATAGCCAAACTGTCGATTGTTTCTTATACATTGAATAATAGAACACCTACAGTTACATTCTAGCAAGTGTCACTTACCAGAAATCTATCTAGCACCAGCTCATCCATCCAGAATAAGAAGTCAAGCAAACAATGCTGCTGGCTCCTTGGACGATCTACTAATCCCATTATCATACCGTTTGAAAGTTGTATCCTGAGGGCAAATGCAGGTAATACTGTAAATTATGGAGCACCATTATCATGCTCACCATCAATCATCTAATTGCAGTTTATCGGCTAAGACTTAGTGACAAATATCAAAACCAACAATACATTCATCAATTAATGTATTTTATTTGCTCATCCTGCCCAATGAAGGAGAAGAAGGGAACAAGAAGGGCAGAGGAAGAGCGTTTTATCATGGTGTATTTGAGAATGATTCATGTATACAAATACATAGAAACCATGTGATAAACTGAGTTTCCTTATTCCATATCTAGAGAAGTGCCTTTTTTTTGAGTTTGTTGTTTCTGCGTGATTAACATGCTATATATGAGAAGGAATTTACCTCACTGTCCTCCCAAATTGCCCCAACACACTTGGAAAAGCTAATGCTAGCACTTCTCAGCAAGCAGCGTGCAGTGTTGCTTGTTGTACTTAGCTCTACATTTTCATTACTAGTGTCAGCTTTGTTGACCTCGTGTAACTTTGGGGGGCTTGGAAGGCATCTATGAGCAACAGTTGCTTCAACGTGCCTTTCAAATTCACCATCGTGATCAGTTTCCTCGTCTATTGAAACATAGACCCGCTCTCTGTAGAAAAAATTTAATGAGGCTATTTGAGTAAGCACACTTTATCAGAACTATTAATAAGCTCTGAAGTATGAAATCCTTAATATCAGGGTCAACTAACCTAGGCAAGGAGGCATATCGCCTTGGATGGAGAACATGTTTTCCACCTTTGCCATAGTGCCCCTCAAGTAAGTCAAATTGTTCCTTAAAGCAGTCGACCCCACTATATATATGCACATCGAACTTCATGTTAGCATTGCATAAAAATATAGCTAAACATGCAGCAGAAACAGGGAAGACTTCAGAAGTAAAGATCATGAGAATTATTAGAGAACCTCTCTTCACTAAAATGGCGAAAGCAAAGCAAAAGCTACCATCATTTCTGAAGGTAAGTATATTGAGTCACTTAAGCTTCCATAGACTTATTTAAGCATTATCAAGTCGGACCAAGTAAAGAGCAGTATAATAGAAGACTCAAGATATAATTAGCATACCTCGTTTCTTGTTATGGGTTGAAAAAGTTGGATCATGATATTGATCCAGACAGAACAAAATTGCTTAGCCGTCCCTAAAATTCATCTAAACTAGCAATTCTCTGGTCAACCTAAACAGGTTCAATGGTGAAGCTCTTCCCGGAAAAAAAAAAGGAAAAGAAAACCAAATAATATATCCTCCCATATCAGGAATGTGATGATTGAGTCAAAATGATTACTTGTAAGATTATAGGATAGTTATTAAAGTCACATAGTCTTGCGCATTGTGTAACTTATATATTCCAGACTAACAAGTAAAATGCATAACTACTTCAATGACACCATTGAAGTAGTTATACAACTTAATGCAGATTCTATTTGATAATGATCATAGCAAAGCATGGTAACTGAATCTGCAAACTCCCGATAGAAGATGCTTATGTGTCAATACGAGGGATAGAAATTGGAATTATTCTCGAAGCTCATTTCGACCCATATGGAGCACACAGAACACTGCTTCATGCATGAGCCTTGGCCATAGTTGCAACCACAAGCAATCCACCGGTTCTATAGGGAAAAGGATCACTTCTCAACACAAATGCTTAAGCTAATAGCTACATGACTGTCCACTGTTTAATTCTGTGCAACAGCATTATTGTTTAGTTGAATGGTAAGAACTTGTAAAATTGTCCGTCAGAAATAATGTCCAATGTTCACTAATGTATCTATCCTATTCCTCATATGGAATACCTTAGGACTTAAATATTGCTAGTGAAGTCACGCCAATATCATCTTATGTCAAAAAAGCATGCAGGATTTCTCAAGTGAGCCTTCCTCATCACTAATTTTACATCCGTAGAAACATGATAAAAAGATCTGATTATTTACCGCATCACATACTAACAGTTAATTAAAAAGGCATGCCTGGAAAGTAGGTTCAATACGCCATAAGTATTTGTATCACACAGTTAGTCAACAAAATGAAAGGTTAACACATGGACTGAATCATATTCAGTATCTATGACACACTTGTGCCCTCATCACTGGCAGATTTCTCTCTTTTTATCACCATGAAAGTATCAGCGGCAGATATAACCGCATATGTTATGCATCAAATTTCAAGTATGTCATCTTAATCCAAGATAAAAGTAAGTGCAGATACAGAATGAAACACCAAATACCATTGAAGTTGCTGTGTCTTCTACCGCCAATACATCTCTTATCACTCCTTTATGAGATTCAATTAGATACTAATTCCAATTGCATTACACGGATGAAAATGTTTATTTTTAATGCATGATAACTAAGACATATGTGCTAAAACAAAAGAATGAGCTTGTTGTTAGCAGGTCAACAAAAAGCAGGCATGGACAAATTTCACAAGATCATACAATTGAGTTAAATCGTTAGAAAGAACTAGTTATCGGTCATAGGCACCAACGACTATGGACAAATAAGGAGAAGTATTGGCAGTACCTTGGATACAAAAAGCTGGTATTGTCAGTGCCATGAAGATACTCCTGCAGCATCTGAGGGTGGTACTCCAAAATCTGTGAAGGACAAATTCAATGTTGTAGTACAATGGAGGAGGAGGCACAAAAGAAGGTAAAAGGAAAGATCAGATTGGTTGCCAACTCATACCTCCCTGTAGATGAGCTCTCTAATATCCTCTTTTGCCAGTTTTCTTCTTTCAAAGTCGAATTCAAATTTTGAAATAGGCCGAGCAGATGGTTCATGCTCCTTGTTTGCTAAACCACGGAAATATGGATGTGCTAGTGCCTAGAGGGGATTAACATAGGACAGCATGAGAGAAATAAAAACTTGCATCATAGGCTCCAATGAGTGTCCAACAATCTACTAAGTCCTACCTCTTCAGCAGAAGGGCGATCTTTGGGGTCAAATGCAATCAGACGCTCAAGTAATCTTAGAGCTATTGGGTCTATATCTGGAAATTTTTGAGAGAGAGGAATGGGGGATTTATTCTTCATGCTGCTTAAATATCTCCTTGCTTTGTCATTTTTAATCTGCATATATCGGGAAAACGGACCATTCATTTGGCATTCATTATACATCACTAGTTTATTAACTTCAACTGAGGAAAGGGAAGGACAAACCCTTGAAATGGCTTCAGTGGATGGTGAACCAAGCAAATCGGTAATCAGATCCAATTGGTGGACCACATTCTTCCCAGGAAATAATGGTTTTTTTGTAAGCATTTCTGCAAATATACATCCTATACTCCAGATATCAACTGCTGGGGTGTACTGCAATAAGTAGTTTGTATTAGAATTGATACCAAATTATGAGCGATCGCAGTATAATAAAGTAAATATAAGTGAGCAATGATTTACACAAGTTCTTTCCCAGCAAAGTAAAATTTAATATTGCAGCACAGAAACTTAAGGCATGAAGATTGCAAAGAGCAGAATTCAGATAAGGAAAGAGAACAATAAAAATAAGAGCTTTCGTCGTAAAATTTGTGAAAAATGTCAGCCATGGCCCCAAAGGGCTCCTGTTCAGCTCTTTTCCCCTCCTAATAACAAGATAAGAGTGAATAAGAAAACATGAAGAAATTAAAGTGCCATCGCTGAATAACATAATATAATATTGGTAGGGCAAATTCCGCATGCTAAGTACAAAAGTTTCACCACATGAAGACAGATATCTACTATTAACATGAAAAAGTCATTTGAGAAGTGTACGGGATAAGAAACAAACTATATAAGCATTTGAGTTACCGATTAATGTCATACTTACTTTTGAGTAAAAAGAACCACAAAGTTCTGGAGCGCGGTACCAACGAGTTGCCACATAGTCCTGTAAAGAGCAAAGGAGTTAAGAGTTTTCTTTGGAATAAAAGCAAAAATCATGCTGAGATATAGACTACGAAAATTTTGTGAAGAGAAAAGAGACGTATGAGGTTCTTGAAAGCAAAAAAGAATCAGGGTCTTGTCATCACAGGTGTAATAACTTGACAATTTAATGACAGCATTGAGACCTTCTGACTGGCTATTATGGTTAAGATAGATCGAGAAAATTTAAAGTAGAGAAATGCTTCGTACCGTCCAGAAAATAGCTGATGGGGTATCTCCAAATGATGCCCGAGCAAGCCCAAAATCACATATTTTCAGCTTGCAATCTGCATTTGCTAGAATATTCTTTGGCTTTAAATCTCGATGAAACACGTTTGCTGTTGAGTCAATAAATGAGGGAAAAGTCATAAAAATGTAAAAGAGAAATCTAACTAAATACCAGAATGTGTTCAATGAGGAATCGCCACCTGTGTGCATAAACTTTAAACCTCGAAGAAGCTGATACAAAAAGAATTGATAATGTTCAGGAGTGAGACTGTCATTGGCCTTAATTACATGCTGAAGGTCACACTCCATCAACTCGAAAACAACATATATATCCTTGAATTCTCTCGGACATGGAGGTAACAGAATATGCTTTATTTCTACAATATCTGGGTGCCGAAGCAACCGGAGGAGCTTTATTTCTCTAAGGATGCGGGTGGCTTCAGAGACATGCTCCAAAACATTATCGATCTTCTTTATCGCTACCCTCTCTCCTGTATGAGTATCAACTGCTGCTGCAACAACACCATAGCTCCCCTTGCCAACAACCTCTTGGATTTCATATTGATGTGCTTCACCATATTCGGTGAAGAATTCCTTGAAAGGCATTGCCTGAGAAATTAAAAGACACAATCAGAACTGTTTTTTTTAAACATACAGGCAAAATCTAAGAAACACGCATACAATGTAATACATAAATAAAGAGTTAAAATCTTTTCTCTCCCCATCATCACCACAAAATTTGAAAAGTATCAAAAATCTCTACCAAACATTATCTTCCAATATTACTGATTTTTGGGAAGGTGTTCAAGAAATGCGGGTAATACTCCTCTTTAAGTGTCAGAAAAAGGATAGGAAGAGGATTTAACAATCATCAACGATACAGAATCAGATGCAAACCTTATGAACCACTCTAGATAATATTGACTCAAGTAAATCAGCTTCTGCTTCAGAGTTATAAGGTAGTCATGGGACTAAGGACAGGAGCTTAATGATGGAAATTGATACAACCATTCATAGTTAGAGAGAGATGAGAAAATACTACTCGATTAAGAAACAAAAAGGAGCAATCATAAAGCAGCAGCTGAAACTGACACAACTAGAGTGCAGGTGACCAACAATAAGAGAAAACGCATCACATGTGAATAAACTTGATGATCAGAGTGACTGAATTATTTCAAATTTGGGATCATTCTAAGTAGGGGTGAGCATACTGCGGGTTGCTCTCTATGCCTTTTTTAAATCAAAATGCCCAGCTTATACCTTCAGATATTCTAATAAAGATTGATGTTCTTATTATATCATAAGACGAGTAGAAGTAAGTTCAATCTTGGAGGTTTTTTCCTATTTAGTGTGTGTCATTTGAAAAATATGGTGGAGAAACATTTCAAGTGTTAAGGGATTCATGTTTTACATTTTGTCTAAATTTTTATGCCACTTTTCATTTCTGAAGCATTTTTTTTAAGAATTTCACTCATTAGTAATCAGCCAGTCAACAAAAGTGAGTGGAGAGAAGTTATCTCTAAAACTTCCGCAAATTATTTCACTATTAAACAAAACTTGGAAAATTTGTACATTAGATACTGGTTTCACATTGTCTTTGCTAAAATGATGGTTAGCAGTAGGGTTAATGGCTATCCATGCCAAGTACGGCGAATAAATACGGAAATAGCCAGCAGGGCTCAGAAGAAAGATAATATGAATAGCCAGATTGAAAAGCAAGCTTCAAATTCAAAATTTCAAATATCTCAACCAAAAAAAAATGAAAAGAAAAAAGAAAAGTTACCATCTTTTTTAGAATTTAGACTTCTATCTAAGATGCAAGCTGTTTAAATCACAATCCAAAACCTACAATGTGTCAAAAAATTAGAAACAAAAGACAACTTAGAGCAGACAGCGTCAAAATCCACAGCATTGTAAAAACAACAGAAATCTTTATCATCTAAAATTTGCAATCTTTTAACAACCAAATACCAAAATCCAAATTTGAACTCTCAACCAGCTAATCCCTGGCATATTTAGATCATGTGACCTCACACAATCAATACAACATAAAACCACATCCTATTTGTTAGATTAAACCATAGGAAGATTTACATTTCATTCAAATGCATTCAAGAAAAGAACAAGTAGTCTATATAACAGAATTATTGGAAGAAATTACTACCTCTGAAAAGGGTCAGTGAAGGCAAAGGGAAAACAGCTCTTAGATAATAAATGGAATGGCTCCTCCTCTCCACACTTTCTTGGAGTCTTTTATAGTTATACCTCCATGAAAGGTACACGTCTAAAGAAATGACCCGGTAAAAGCAACCCCAGTTGAATTCTGCTATATTTATATTAGTTCATATTAAACTACTATATAAAAATCCAAATAAAAAAGAGCCAAAAATTAGATATGTCAGCCTTTTGTCCATATCACAATCTTCCACAAACAGCTTTACATGAATAAAATATATTAGAACACAGCGTTTCAAGATAAGAAACAAAGCTACGAAATGGCCAAGAATAAGGCATCATCACCAAATAAATAAATAAACAAATAGAGTAGAATCCAATGCATCATTGGAACTAAATTACAAAAATGAAGATTGCCTCTATAGGGGGTGGTGGTCTAAGTGTTGCACTAACAACTTTTGAACCTAAGGTTCATGCACTACCACTAGGACAAATTCTTCCTATCTAATTAACGGGTTCAATTGAACCTAATATTTTTTACACAACATTATAGATATGTTATATGAAAAAAAAACCACTAAAATTTCAACTTTAACCTGAACTCCTAGTTGAATAAATTGCATTTAAGTCCAGTCGCAAGAACATAAAGGTTGAACCTACCAAGTTTAAATCCTCAACCCCATTCTAAATTGCGACACTATCAATACATGTTTGCAGAGGCGGACCAATGTGTAACCTTGAAGGTTCACCCAACCCCGTAAACTTTGGTAGAAATCTTGCATATTTTTATGATTAATTTTAGTGCCCGTTTGGACATAAAATTTGATGGAAGAGTTTTTAAAAAAAAATCACTTTTTTCCAAACCAGCGTTCGTTCGTAACATTCTCAATTTTCACTTGAAAATGTACTTTGAAAATTTTCGAAAATTTGAAAAACTGCAAACAGTTATTTTTCAAAATTTTCAATCAAATCACTCACAAAACTTCAAAAACAACCCAAATTGAAATTTATGTCCAAACACAACTCTAAATTTCAAATAACATTTTCACTTGAAAATTGTTTTCACCATTTTTTCAAATTTTACAATTCGTATGTCCAAAGCCTACTAAATCACTTGACACCTGAACACTAAAAACCTTTAGTCGGTACTGGCTGAGTAGAATAATGGTGCCCGTCACGTTAATATCTTGGGTCCGCCTCTACGTGTGTATGTGAATTGAATGCGTAAGCAAGTTCACCCGTTACCCAACATTGAATAGTGAGCCTTATCTCTTTTTTATTTGAGTCGGTTAGTCTGCACCGCCATAGAAACTAAAACTACAAATACACATACAGAGAAAGAGAGAAATATTAAGAGAGAATATGAAAGAACTGACCTTTTCAAGCTGAGGCTAGCTTTGCTGTAGAGAATGAGTTCAGCAGCAGCGAGCTTTACTTATATGAAAGAGTTGAGCAAAGAAAAGGTGGCAAAAGTAATGAGAGCCAAGGGAATTACAACATTTTACCTATTCTTTTGGATGCCATGTTTTCGGGTAAAATAGATCAAATTTACTCCATTTTTTTCTGACTTTTCTTGGTCGGCTGCTGCAGCAATTGGTGTGTAGATTTTGGTTTGACATATTCATTTGATTTGGACATTGTTACAGTAATTGTCAACTTATGAATAAAACGGAAGCACATTGTGATGTTTCACCAATCTAAAACATCAATTTTTTTAATTAAAAAAAATTTTTTAAGCACTTTGTTGTTAATATTTTGAGCTACAAAAAGAAATTAATTTTAAATAATTTTGATATAATTTCTAAATATGTATGCTTTAATAAAAACTACACCCTCCATTCACTTTAGTATTCTAAATAGATTTTCACTTTTACTTGTCACTTTTAACATATCATAAAAAGAGAATTTTTTTTTTCTGTTATACCCACAATATTAATTACTCATTTATAATCGTTTTCTTAAATTCATTAAAAATATGCATCAATTAATATAGGTATCACGGTAAATTATGCACTTCATTTATTATTTTTTAATGGTTGTGCAAAGTCCATAGTGGACTAGTAAAAGTGAACGGAGGAAGTAATAACAAAATGATATATGAATTCATGTGGAATATTAAACTCTCATTTGGTCATAAATTTTGGTAATTTCTTCTCAATTCTTTTTAAAATATTATTTGTTCATGGAATATGAGCAGCTTTTAAAAAAGTAGAAATTGTTTTTCATGTTTTCAAATCTGATTTAGGGCAGTTTTCGGGTGAAATTTTTCTTTCACACACAACATTAACTTTTTAAAAATAAAATGTATGTCTAAACAGAACTTTAACTTTCAAAAATTAATTTTTAAAACAATTTTAAAAACTTTTTTTTAAGTTTTTAGTAAATTTATATCCAAACTTTAGTTAAATGTATTGATCATATTACATCGAACCTACTGGAACTAAAAGTTGAGCTAGAGCCACCTATTGCCAATTTGAACAACTTACCAATGTTACCATCATAATATGAAGGCTCAAGTGGATAAGCTAGAAGCAACCTTTGGACCTAGTCTCTAAACCAAATAGAGAGGACAAGTTCAAAGCCCACTTATATATATATATATATAAATGGTCCGATTAATCGGAACTCGTATCGAGTATATCTACCTAGGGATAAAGCATTTTTTATTAAAACGTCTTTATTTTTTAGAACTCGAATTCGTAGAAATGACATCAGGTAGTCACTCTAAAGGACTACACAACAACAACAACAACAACAACAACCCAGTATAATCCCACTTAGTGGGGTCTGGGGAGGGTAGTGTGTACGCAGACCTTACCCCTACCCTGAGGTAGAGAGGCTGTTTCCAAATAGACCCCTGACATCCTTCCCTCCAAGAACTTCCCACCTTTGCTCTTGGGGAGACTCGAACTCACAACCTCTTGGTTGGAAGTGGAGGTTGCTTACCATCAGAGCAACCCCTCTTGTCGAGGACTACTATATAGGAATTAGTCTAAAGGACTACTATATAGGAATTAGTCAGTGTGTTAGGTGTTTGTCCAGGTTTTTTTACCATAATTGATTTTCCTATTTCATGAAGGAAAGGACAACATATTTACCATATTTGGGTTTTTCTTTTCCTAGAGGGAAAATATAATACTTTCATATTTGGCTAGTCCCTTTTCTTGTAGGAAAAGGTTTGGAGTTCTATAAATTGAAGATCCGTCATTCTCATTCAATAGCATCCACAATGTAGCCATAGGAGGCTTGAGAGTCGTGTTTAGGGGGAGAACTTTACGGGACAAGTGTTAGTGTGTCACTTGTTTTTGCCTCTTCGTGAGGTTGCTCTCTCGATATTAGTGTGTCACTTGTGTTTGCCTCTTCGTGAGGTTGTTCTCTCGATATTTTGTACTCTCTTTTATATAGTGGATTGCTCATCTCCGCCGTGGACGTAGGTCGGTTGACTGAATCACGTTAAATGTTTGTGTCTCTTTTGGTAGATTTCTCATTTGTTATCTGATTTATCGTCGTTCAAGATTTGCTTTTCTAACTTCGGCATGACACCTAACTTTTTCTGTCCTAATATAGTGCAGTCTGAATTTTAGTTTTTCAGTTTATTTTTTGAGACAAAAATATCTTGAATTATCTTGAAGTTAAGATTTTTAATTTAAAATTTCATGACAAAATAAATACTGACTAATATCTAAATAGCATCAAAAATAGTTGTTCATGCAACTACCCTCGAATTCGAAACCTTTAATTATGGACATTAGCAACGTGAAAGTCCTTTGACGCATGATTAAACCGGTTAGCTAACCTGAACCTTAGGCAAAAGGAGACGGTCAATCATGCATTCACTTAGGGTGTGTTTGGCACGAAGGAAAATATTTTCCGGAAAATATTTTTTAATTTTTTTATATTTGGTTGGCTTAAATGTTTTAGAAAATATTTTCCTTATGAACTCATTTTCCTCCAATTGGAGGAAAATGTTTTCCTTATCAAGAGAAGGGTAAACATTTTCCAAAACTACTTCTCAACCTTCCCCACCCTCACCAACCAACCTCACCCCCTCTCCAAAAAAGGCTTTTTTTTTTAATTTCAGTTTTTCCGTTACCACCTACCCTACTACCCCTCCACCCCACCCCACTGCAAAAAAATTATTATTTNAGATTTAGAAATTATAAAGTTTACGGGTTCGAAATTCCGCGATTTTGAAAGTTTAGCGGTTCGAAAATTTATGAAATTTGTGGGTTCGGAAGGTTGTTGATTTGAAAGTTTATGACTTCATATTTATTATATCTAAATTATTTATGAATACTCTTGAGAAGTTATTTTCTTTAATTTGCGTACCAAACACCGGAAAATGAATAAGATTACTAGTACTTGTTTTCCAAGAAAATATTTTCTTGGAAAACATTTTCCGTTATACCAAACACACCCTTAATCTTGGTTTTTACAGATTTGACTTTTGACATTAGTCAAATTTGCAGATTTATTTATTTTGTGAAGATAAATAACTATATGAATAAGCATCAACAAGTTGAACATTTAATTAATTAGCCAAGCTCTACGTACCCACCTGAAAGTAGTGACACGAAGTTGTCCCCAGATTTGGTTTTTGTACGGCAAAGGACGAAATTATTAGTTGAAAATTTGCTTGTTGAATTCTACAACTTTCATCACGCTGAATTTCACAAGCTAATTATTAATAATTCTAACAATTGTTAATTATTAATTAATAATAATAATATAATTGTCCGAATTGCAAACTTTTATCGTAACACGTCAGTCCAAGCTTATAATTTGTGGAAACACGTCACTCCAAGCTATTATCAAGGGATTAGCCTATTTGATTTATATTTTAAAAATATTTCGTAGATAAGATATTATATATTTGAATAATATTAATTAGTTATATAGTGATCAAACAACTGTTGGTTATTTGTTAAGCCAACCATAAAAGACGTGTTCTCCTATTTGGTTTAGATTCATCATTCATTGCTGGAAAGGATTGACCTCAAACTCTAATGATGATTATAAAAATGGATTTTAATCAAAAAGTAATAAAATTCTGGCCAACCTCCATGTATTCCGTTAATACTTGCAATTTTTCTGGCCTCCAACACTTAGATTATTTTCTTAGATTCTTCGTTTTGACAGCCACATTTTATATTGATCTTGACTTGTTGATTTGAACGTTATTGGCTAATACATTCATTAATCCTTATTTCTTTTATTGGCAATTTTTTTTTCTTATATATACCAAAAGTCAACTTTAAAAGGCATATGAATAAGGTAAAGAGCTAGGTTGCGTTTCACTAATTTATCATAATATATTATTCAACAAGTTTTTTGGTTCCAAAAAGTTCGAGATAGATCTTAAAAAAGAATGAATGAATAGTTCAAATGCAATCAATATATCAATACACTGTGATTTATTGCAAATTAACCACGCGAAGAAGAACACAATAAACCAAATTTGATTTAAATCGTCACAGATGAAGAGAGACCACAAAACGAACTAAGAGAGAGATCAAACGAAGAGGGAAGGATTCAAGAAATTACAAATAAATTTAAAAAGGGATTTACTGCCTTTATTAGCTTTTTGCGAAATCGGAAAAAAAAAAAAGGACTGAATAATTTTGAGGATGTTTGATCAAAAAGTGTTAAGCTTTTTGCTAAACTAATTAATGAGGAAAATAAAGGATAAATTCTAGCCAAAGATAATTAACTCTAGATCGAAATACATTGAATGAGAGAATAGGATATAATCAAGTTTATAAACTTTTTAAGATTATAAAAGATATCAAATGTAAATGATAGGCTTACATTCTTGACGTATTCTTCCGTAATATAAGAATAAAGAAGGAAAAGAAGGAATGCCATTGGCAGCTATGGGATCTATCCTTATTGATTCAATAATGCCGATTACAAATATTTGCATCCAAGATCTAAACCTTCACTTGTTTCTCCTGAGACTCCTTGTTCTGTTCTTCCGTCTCTTCTTTATGAAGGAGAGGAAACCCCTTTTCTTGTTCTTTTACCTCCTATATATATAGTAAGTATTCCCTTTTGTCCCACAGTCCTTAGCCCGAATACTCTAATCTGATTCTACTTTAGGTCGTTCCCCTTAAGTGTCATGATATATACTTCGCCCTACAAGCTTTCTGATAGTTCGATCTCGGTAGCGGTCGAGATACTCGTCGTTATGATGCCTAGTGGATTCAATCACGACTTAATCGACCCCTTGTCATTCCTTTTAGCGTTAATCCACGTATGGTCAGATTTTGACCCATGCACAAGATAACTAGATCAGTCAAGTTCCAATCTAGCTAGGATTGGCTTCTTTCAGCTCCCTGAATTGTGGAGAGTAGAGAAATGTCCAAAGTGATGGCAGCCATGGCCCGTGGATATATGGTTTGAAAATGACAATTACTCCCGTTCATTAATTATTGCTTGTCGTTTTTTTTTTCTGGCTATAAGATGTGGAGAAACGTAAGGGGCCTCCAATGTTTGGATTTTTAATGGGATTCTTTTGACAACTACGTTTGACTCAGAGACTGGAGTTATAATTTGAAGCTTTAGGGTTTAAAATTTTATCTCTTTAAACTAAAAATTTAACATATTAAATAAATCTCTTAAGACAAACATATTATTGGGGTCGGTCGAACCCCAACTATAAACGCTATCTCCACCCTGATCTTTGATACTACTTAAGGGTGTCTAACGGGCGGGGTCAACCCGTTTTCGGAACGG